GGGTGATTCTCCCGTGACTCCTTGGCTGACACGCCCCCACCCACTTGCCCTCGGCAACGGCCCCCACAGCCCTCCCCACGCCCCACGAGCTTCGGCGCTGCCCATTCACTGTCCACAGGGTCTCCATGCTGAGGCTACCTCCGTGCCCCGAGAGCTGCCCAGGGGCACGTGGGGCGAGGGGGGCAGGAGGCCGGCAGAAAGAAGCAGCCCACGCACCACTGTCCATTGTGCGAGGCAGCTCCCCCTTTCCCAGAGGAGGAAGCCGGCCCTAGAGGGCACAAGGTCGCAAGGCAGAAGGGGGGCAGGGGGGCAGCCCTCCCAGTGGGGAGCCTGCTGAGCCCTGCCCAAGGGCTGCCGGAGCCCAAGGGTCAGTGGGGTGGGCTGGAGGAAGCCAGGGGCCCCTGGCCACTCAGGAGGTCCACCAGTCTGATGGGCTCTGCTGGCCCAGCCCTTGCAGGGGGCTCCCTCCCCAGAGGCCCAGCTGGATCCCCTGCAGGAAAGAGCCCCTGCTGAACACAACACAACACACACACACACACACACACACACACACCGTCCTTCTGCAAGGAGCCTCCCCAGAGCCCAGGGCTCCTGCTTTGATGACACACAGGGGGCCCTCCTGTCACGAAGCCGCCTGCCAGGCCAACCGAGTCCGCCAGGTGAGATTTTCCACAAAGCTTTCCCTAACAACCCATCTTCCAAAGTGGGATATGTCTGCCCCCCCCACCCCCTGTGATGAGGTTGGCTGACCCCAAGGCAATAGGGGACCCCCCCACCCCACTGCTTGTGGGAGTCTCTTAACCACCAGCACTACCCCCTGCCCCCCCACCCCCCAGGAAGCAGAGCCTCCGAGGCCCCGGGATGTTTCCAGAGCCGCCCCAGAGCCTCCGAGACCCCCTCATGCCTGCACAGTGTTGGGGGGCTGATCAGGAGGGAAGAGGCCCTTCAGCCCCCCCCTCCAAGCCCTAAGAGGGAAGGGGGCTTCTGCAGGGGCTCCTCCTTCCACAGCTTTGCAGGCAGAGGGATTCCCCTCCGGGGCAGCTTCTCCTCCCAGCCTCTCCGGAAGTGAATTTGGCTTTGCCCCAAACGGCCAATTCTCCCGTTTCCCCCCTTTCTTCCCAAGGTTCGGGTGCTGCTCTTCCCTTCAAGGGAGGATTCCCCGCAGACAGCTGAGCCCCAGAGGAGCCGTTGGGGAAGGAGGGGGGGGAGGACTGGAAGGGGTCCCCCTTTTGCCAGCCCTTGGAGGAGGAGACGCTCTTAGGTCTTTCTGGGGGGGGGGGCAAGGATCTGGGGGCTCAGAGGCACATGCCAGCCAGCCAAAACCCCTGGAGGGCAGGAACAGCCACTTGGCTGGAGAGGCACGGGCGTGCAGTGCCCCCTGGTGGCAGATGCCTTACAGGCATCTCTCTTGCAGTGCCCCCCCCTGCAAATTAGCTCCCTCTCCTGCTGAGAGCCCCCCCTCCCCGCAAGGAGTGCGACCCCCTTCCCTGCCCTGATGGGACCAGTCTGAAGGGGGAACTGGCTCCTTTGAAGCGGGGGAGGGGGGCTTTTATGAGAGAAGAAACAAGGGCAGCCTCTATGGGGGGAGGGTGTGTGTGTGTGTGTGTGTGTGTGTGTGTGTGTGTGTGTGTGTGTGTGTGCGCGTTTGCACACTCCTCAAAGGCAGAACAGGCTGTGGCTCAAATCAAATGAGGAG